TCTGGGAGTGAAAACATAACATGTGTAACACTAAAAAACTCAGTCACCACATATTGCAATTTCCTCTGGACAGGGACACTGGGTTTTGCATTCTGTATCCAAACAAAAACAAAAAAACGCAAGGGAAAAGATTTCCACTGCAAAATCTCCTCTTACAGAATACAATAGCCTTTATTATCATTGTGTTACGCAAAACACAACCAAATGTAAGTGCCACTTCAGTGGTGCCATAAGTTAAATAAATAAACATCCTTACTCATGCTCTGGTATATGTGTGAACATGCTGTACACAAGTGTATAGTCGACATTAGGCAGTTGTATATATGCTATTTTACAGTAACTTTTCACTCTAGGTTTTCACAATGTCAGCACAGTTTTGTGATATAGTTGTGAACCAACATGTACACAATCATCTACATTATCTTCATCTCTGACAGATAACAAAGACAGTTTCTGCACCTACTGGAAAACACCTGCAAGTTTTCTAGTGTGTAGCAAAGCTGTTTGCTTGAAAAGATGCTGTTCTCATAAAAGATAAGGCACTCAAGCCAGCAACTCGGGATTCATAAATAAAGCTAAATGGATCAATATTTCCAAGACTTTAGAGGTAACCTATGGCTACCTCTGCCTAGACAGAGAACGCTTTGATAAAGGTTAGATTTTAATCAAAGCCTTCCCCCAGTAATAATAAAGAAAGTGTGGTATTTAATCATCAGAACTATGTGGAAATCTAGAAACTGATTCACCTGCTTTGTAATAGAGAATTCTAGGTACTATATCTTGTGTAATCATAAAAGCAAACGATCATTTCAGTAGTACCACTTTGGAGTTATTCTTCCCAAACTGCAGTGCTATTGTGCTGACAATACAATAGAGTCACTTTTCTATTTACTAAAAGAAACAAAGTTTGGATGATCTAAGAATTGTTGCTGAGGCATTCACTGTCTCAGCAGCCAACACCAGATGCCCATTAATCAACTTTTATTGAACCAAAGAGCCAAAGCAGAATGACGTATTACACTGGGAAGAAAAACTCACATGACAGATATGACAAATAGAAACATTTGCCAGTAGTTTGCAAAGCCATTATCTTGGCAGCATGATGATGATAATTATGATGCATGTTTTTGTTGTACAAGCTGTCCTGTCACCAGTGAATCTCCCGCTTCTTCCCACCACCCAAAGACATGCAGCTTAGGTTGATGGGTGACTCTAAATTGGCCATAGGAGTGAGTGTGGGTGTCTATCTCTAAGTGTCAACCCTGTAACAGACTGGCGACCTGTCCAGGCCCAGCCTATCTACAGTGTCAGTTGGGACTGGCTCCTGTAATTAAAGTCGTAGTTTAACTACATTTTACAATAGCTTACTGGTAGTTCAGCTGCATTCATATTTGTGTAGTGCCTGAAGTAGTTAAATTACAATTTTGTCATTATTTGGTACAGCTCCTGTAATTACAAAGGCGAAAAGTCTTCATAAAGTTCAACACCGGTGTCCCACCCAGTGCTGTGTGTGAGCAGCTCTTCAGATAAGTACCTTTTTAGTGCCAAAAGGAGCCACCTTTTGGATAAGAACTATGAGACACTGCTCATTTGTCATATAAACAAGAGGTTCTGCTCTGGGAAGTAATAGTAAAACACTGGTCCATTTACACCAGTGTTTAAGTTGTTCATAAGGTCCAAAAGGTGTAGACTGTTTTAGTTGTTAAGTTCGTACAAGTCAGATGTTGCCATCTGATAAGTAACAACAGGCTCAAAGATGCACTTTAAAATATTATTGTGAAAAGCCAAGGTGGGATTGTTTGTGGGTGCCTCAGGTTTTTGCTCGTGTGCGAGTTTTCTTTTATTATGTTATAGTTTTGTATCACATCTACGTTGTCAATTTGATCATTTTAATGATAGTTTGAATGATTTTTTTTCTAATTAACCAAACTACAGAGTTTTGCTGCAGTTTAACTTCTTCCAGCGTGAGGTAATTGATATCTTGCAGTTACATTTTCAAAGTAGTTTCCTCAACACTGCCCACTATTATAAATAACATAACAAGGACAGACATCACTCTGCTGCATTAAGAATACTTTTAATATAAGCTAATTTTGCTGTTAACACACACACCCTGTGCAGTACTTTTTTGGATTACTATTGGGAATGTTTCTATTACTGAACCAAAACTTCCCTCTGACATCTACTGTAGATTATTAAAACACAGAAGGCATGTGGAAATTTTCCTGCACAGAAAAGTAACAGTTCTTGCTGATTCATCCATTCTTTTGTTTCTCTCCCTAGGGGGCTAATGCCACGAACGTTAGACAGCCAGATCACATTAGAGAAGACTCCAAGCTACTTTGTCACCAGAGAGGCACCTAGACGCATCTCCACCATGTCCCATGAGACTAAGCTGATTGTTGTGGTGCGTAACCCAGTCACAAGAGCCATCTCTGACTACACACAGACTCTTTCCAAGAAGCCTGACATCCCTACATTTGAAGAACTGGCGTTTAAAAACAGAAGTCTGGGTCTCGTAGACACTTCCTGGAATGCCATTCGGATTGGGATGTATATTCTGCACCTAGAGAACTGGCTGCAGTACTTTCGTCTGTCGCAGATGCACTTTGTGAGCGGGGAGCGGCTGATCACGGATCCAGCAGGGGAAATGGGTCGTGTTCAAGACTTTTTAGGACTGAAACGAATAATCACAGACAAGCATTTCTACTTCAATCGAACCAAAGGTTTCCCTTGTCTGAAGAAGCCGGAGAGCAGCAGCCAGCCGCGCTGCCTCGGCAAATCCAAGGGTAGGACTCACGTACAGATCAACCAGGAGGTCATAGAGCAGCTACAGGAGTTTTATAGGCCGTTTAATATCAAATTCTATGAAACTGTGGGACAAGACTTCAAGTGGGATTGAGAGCGCCATATCAACACAGTGTTGTTTTTAAAATGGCTACCTCTAGAGATGTTAAAATATAAATGAGGGTATCTTCAACAGAATGTACATGTTTATTGAATTAAAGTATGTGCAAAGTGACATGATTAATATAAAATAAAGGACACATCAGACATTATCATAAATGGTTTCACATCATGCTGGGCCATTATAGTGAAAAGTGCCATTTGAAAGATATATTTCCTTTACTGTACACAGAACCTATGAATTTATCACCAGACAACCAGTATTAAATCACAAACCAGTTCATTAATCAGCAGCCATCATAATGCCTATATTAAAAACATTGCTTGAATATTCATGACCCATTTTTATTTATTCATCATGTCCACACAGAATTAATCACTAGCTTTACAGTTGAAATGAGCTCTCAACCTGAAGTTGCAGCAAAATGTCAAATGGATAATACAATCAGCCTGTCCATTATTCTGCATTGAAATTTATCTTGTTGTTGAAAAAAGCTCCTAGGCAACCATGACTAATTTACTGAATAAATGTACTGAAACTGAAAAGAAAAACAAAAACTGTATTAAGACAGATTCTATAACACTGATACTGAACACTGAATTCTACTTCAGTTTTTTTCTGTGTTAGTATTTCTATTGTGATCATCAAAATAAAAGGAATCAGAAAATTCAAGCATCTTTTTTTGCCTATACAAATATCTAGCATGTAGTAATGGTGTCTAACAGAGTATAATTAGCTGTGTGGGTAAATTGTAAGGGCTACAACTGCAGACAAACTTCATGTAATTTTGGAATTCATCTACACATTCAACCTGCTTACATCTCCGAATACGTAACAGAGTACTAAGAAGTTTGCATTGAGCCTGTTTTAAGATAAAACGCTCCATACCAAGTGCTGTCATGCATGTCATTGATCTCATTAACTTTCAAGATACCTCTTTTTGATGGATTTGATCACACTCCTCCCTTGAAAGGGGTCTCCGTGCTAAGCAGCTAGATTAACCTCCCGAGTTTGCACCCTGAATCCAATCAGACTTATCATTAATCATTTCCTGTGAAACCTCCAAAAGTCACAACACAAATGAATAAGGAAAGTGCAGAGAACCAGTGAGTCCTTGAGAAAAGCAGTAATAATGCAATAAAATGGCAAGTTAGTAATGTGCAAATTTATGCTGGATATATCTGTTTTGTGAAATGTTTTAGGTTTAATGTTAAACGATCTGGCTCTGAGATCCCGACATTCTCCTTAAACCAGTCCTTTGAACTGTTTTGGTTGTAATGACAAACAGAATTTGAAAATCTAAATGGCAAAACCTGAACATATCTGAGATTAAACAAAGGCTACATGAAGTGAAGAACTGACAAGCTTTTAATTTGAACAGTGTTTAGTGAAGCCCCAACTAGGCTTAAACTAAATATTGTACTGAAAATGTGTAACAGCTATGTTGTACTACTTTGCTTATGGTGAAACAGTATTTGATTTATTTAACATTTTTGTGATTTCTATAGATGTATCACTTAACGCCCCACCTCAGGGTTGTGAATCAAACAGTCCTGTCCAGTCACACTCAGAGTGTGACCTTCCATATCAAGGAATTGAGATAGTCCCCTGCACTCCAGCTCTGCTCCTCCAGTATATGTCCATTGGCCAAGCAGAATTTAAGCTGTCATTTGTGATCTTCTTCATTAATTTTTGATTAACCTGTCATGCTGTCTGTGACTGCCTGCTGCTTTGTGAGCCATCAGCAGACATGCCAGTTTAGCAGTAAGCTCAACTTTATCTCAGCTCAGTTAATTATAACTCTGTAATGCTTAGGGCTTGGTGACATGGCACGAAGAAAAGACTCCCACACTGCTGCCACTATAAAGAATAATTTAATGTGTTATCTGTTGTGCATGTGGCTACTTTACATGGGACTTCTGATGAGGAACATGAGGTGAATTTTGGGGGAACATTCATGCCTGTATAGTGCAGGGCACTTTGCTGAAGGAAAACTGGCAGCTTTCAAATAGCTTTTTTTCTTGAAAGCTTGGAGTTCATTAAATTTTTATGCTATCTTGCAGCATCAAAAGCAGCCTATTCCTGCAGTATCTCACATGCAGTTGTAGCAATGAAAGCACAGTATTCAATGATGTATATAATTTATTAACTCATCATTACAAAAGAACAGTGGGTAACTAAAAGTTGTCTGACCATTCTAACCTTCAGAGAAAATACCAAAGATGTTGTTGCAAATGTCATGAACTTTGAAAGACTGAGGTAAAATACACCTCTGCCACTAATCAGAAATGTCTAACAGTACACAAAAATATCACTTTCCACCAATTCCATTTATTTTCTTTTTTTAACATAACAAAATGAAATAATGAGGACTCATTCAAATAGTATGGGATTTGCAGTTGCAAACTCCAAGGCTGCAGAGGTCTTTTATATCTCCTGCCTTGAAAACTTATTGAAATTCAACTGACACGCCAACCCTGAAACTTCACACACTTTACAAGCTTGGCTCTATAATCTCTGTATTGTGGGGACAACTTTGAAAGAAAAAGAGCTGCAAATGTGCTGTGCCCCAGAAAACAAAGGGGAAAAAAATTGGTTTATTGCACATAATGTACTGAGTATACTGCTATTTCTTTTCTGATGTCACTTGAAAAATCCAGAAATAATATGAACAGGTCTCTGGCTGGTTTCTGACTGGAATGTGCAGTTTCTTCCATTTGAGGGACAGTGTTGAAGTATTTATACCAAGATGTCTCCTTGTCTCTCCTAATGAGCTAAAGCAATTGAGGATAATGAAGATGTTCTTTTTCTCCAGTGGACAACGTTACGAGGAGACTTCACTTTAGACGTTTTGAAACTTGGCAGCCAAAAACACCTCCAGAGGAAATCTTGTTAAATACTAAAATGGCATGCAAGCTGACCTCTACCTGCATCTGTGTACCTTTAGAATATGTCATCATTCCTCTAGGCTTTTCCAGAAACATGCTCTATCACCAAGTATCATACTTAAAGCTGTTCCTCTAATTTAAAAAGATGCACAAGAAAGAATGTATTTCCTCTGCAGGTGTTTGTTGGTATTTTCTCAGAATGTTTCTGCAATGCTGCTGCTACATGCTTGATGTAGTAAAATGGACAAGGGCTGTGTATCACTAATGAAAGGTTTTCTGTTAAAGAAACCATATATTCTTTGGGAAAAAATGAGTAACAGTTACAAATACACACCTACTGTATGTACAAACACACACTTTACTTGCCAGTGACAAAACCTTTCCCCTCACCTCATTTCCTCTGGTCTGTTCAACATGTGCTACTGGCCTTACCTTCAGAAAGGTCAAGTGCAGAATGGGTCTCCAAGCACACAGTCAACTAATTAAGCAGTAGTGCTGGAAGATGCGTACCAGCTCCTGAGATACCACAGTGGTCGGTAGCCACCCTGAGGGATAATGAACATATTGTTTCACAAGCAAGCAAGGCAGGGATTTGCATTAGACTGTTCTCATTCAAAATATAAAAGAATGTCGTACTATGGCAGAAGCAAAAAAAAAAAGAAGAAAAAGCCAATGTATGGTGAGAAAAGGTGTCCAATTTTTACTTTCTATATCTATATTAGCACTTTTGCATTTTGATTTTGGACAGGAAAATAAAGCTAGATAACATAAATGCAACATTTTGGATGCTCATGTCTGTATCAGGTATCAAAATTTTTTCAGCTGGGTTAGGTTAGGATTAATCAAATCTGATACATTGTGTTTATTTATCAAGTTTTATTGTTATCGTCTGACAACCAGGTGCTGTGCTAAGCTATGTAGCAGGCTGATGGTTATAGAATTATATTTAATGGACAGATATGAGTGGTCCAGAGGTACTTGTCCAGCTCTAGGCAGTAAAGCAAATAAGCATATTTCACAAAGCTTTGACTTTCTAATAGGTAAATAAATTCTTTTGTTGGCTATTAATTCATGTCAAATGATTGCTACCACAGCGCCCCCAATGTTGCAGTTTTTAGGATTTCCAAGTCACTGCTGAACATTATCATGTTTTATAAATAAGGAGAACCCAGATGCAGACCCGACAGACAGTAATTATTTACTGCTGATTTAATGAAGACACAAATGAAAATGGTGGAAGCACACACAAAATGGAGGTCAGCAGCCAGTGAGTACAATTAGCAGAGAGTGGACAGGTGGCAGGTAACCACTAGACACTTAAGTAACTAAGGCAGAATTACAGGTGGCAGGTAACCACTAGACACTTAGGTAAGTAACTAAGGCAGAATTGCAGCACATGAGAATGCAGGAAGGTCATAATGACTGTAATATGAATTGATTTATTTTATACAGGTTAACAGGCTAGTAGGTAAACAGATGGGTAAAAACACTTTGCAGGTTGTAGTGGTTAAAAATAAACAAGGTACCAGGCCAGAGGTCATATGTAATAGAACAGTATGTAGTTCATATATAGATATTATTTGTAATAGTTATGTAAGGGTGAGCTAAGTGTTTATGTAAGCTTGATCTGTTTCTCTTCTCTTGCTCAAGCAAGAATATCTTGGGCTGTGTCCCCCTTGTTTAACTTATGGGTAAACTTCCTCCTTAGATGGGGAATAGCTTCAGCCTTATGTGAACTGTTCGTGTGCTCTGTTCAGGTTTAGAAAAAGGAAATGTGCGCGAGGTCAATGCGACCTAGAAGTTCATGTACTGGACATCTTAGACAATGCTCGGAAGAAGGGGTGTGGAGCTGGCATGAGACTGCATCTCTGGCTCAGGCCATGGAAGGCTGTGTAACTGCGAGCAGATAAAAGGCTAGGATAGCTGGGTTAGAGAAGAAGGGGATGAGAATGCTACCATGAAAAGTGAGCTTAGACCCGACCAGGGGAACACTGACTGACTGTGGGCTGACTGACTGACTGACTCTGTCAGAGCACCAGTCAGTCCAGTCTTCTTATTTAATACTTTATCTATCCCACTGCAGGTGGAGTGATTCTATTCTCTGTTTCCTAACTACCAGATGGCTTAGTTAACTACTACTCTGTTCAGAATAATTGTAACATTAAATGATTATTTAAATTGGGATGATTTGTCTGAATTGATTTAGTCTGTATCACATTCCAGCCACGACAAGGTTAACAGGTGAGGAAGCAGTTTTTGCAGGTAAACAGGTAGGTAATCATTCTTTTCACAGTGAACAGTGAAAGTGACACAAGAGGGTAGAGATAGTGTAGGGCAACCAGGGAAGGCAGCTAGCAAGCTGAAGAGGTCAGGGAAACAGCAGTACCAGCACAGGGGAATCCAAATGAGCAAACACAGCGAAGGTCACAGGCAGCAGACAGACAGCCAAGCAGACAACAAGGCAGGTAAGTGGCAGGTTCGAGGTGTGACCGATACAGGGGCTGAATATGGAAGGGGAAGTGCACCACAATAAAAGTCTGAAACAGGACGTTGCTGAGGATTATAACAATTATATGCTATTTTGTTGGGAAGAAATTAACAAGAAGACAAAACATAAACTATTATAGACGCTTCAGCTTTGCAGGTCAAACAACTGTTCAGTGTTAGCTGAGGACCAAGCTACATATGTCTGCTCCCTTCCATTTAAATGTGGAATCACAGAGGATGTTAATTCAGTGAACAGAACTGTGCCCAAAGGACCCCCAGGGGAAAAGAAGGGGTAGCGGTCATAACAGACACCCACTGCAGAACACCTGATAAATGCAGTCTGTAACTTAGATAATTAAGTCCTTCTTCAAGTGAGGGAATGAGGCCGGTGATGTGTTCAGGACTGGAGAACACAGTGAGTGCTGCCAAATGACCACCGGTTACCCAGGCTTTCACCACTTTTGTGATTTTTGACAAATCCCAGAGCCCGCAAGCCTCACCTCAAGCTTTACAGACCCTGAAGCTTTCAAAATCCCAGCAGCTGGTGAGAATGAATGTATTACAGACTAAACAGCACTGAGTGTTGCAAGACAGATAAAGTCATCTATAATCTGAAGACGACTGACAATCACTGATCTTTCAGACACTCCACATACAAAATGTACCTATTTCCTGTTTGTTTGTTTTAATGACACTGGGCAGGCATGCATCTCCAAAGAGACATGCCTAATATCAGTTTATTTCTTTTTTATTAGTTTGTTTTGCTTTGAGTTTTAAATATGAAACCTATAAAAACAATCAGACTTACAGTATGTTCCTGACCATCGGACGGACATGAGCCATTGTGGACAGGACAAAAAGCAAAAGGTTTACAGAGACTCCAAAACTTTGTACACTCTGTACCAGTTATGTTTTACAAGACTAAAGCATCTGTTAGACTTTTTGATCGATACACACATCCATAGGTAATTATTAATATAATGTTCAGATTTATGAAGGCACTTCTAATGAAATGGAACCATAAAGCTGTTGTGATTGTTTACAGGGTGTGAATAAAATGCTATCGGCATCATAAACATGGACGGTGGACGTGCTCTGTTGATGTAATGCCTCATTAACCCTTAATGTGTAGGCACTTTGTAAAAAAAATGGTGAGTCGCTCTTGAATATCAGTAATTGTGGAACTAATGACCTTACTTTGGAGAATAGGAGACAATAATCAGAGCAAATGCAAAGCCGGTGAGATTGCTTCTGCCCGCCTGGGATGGATTCTCAGAGGGAATCATAGATTGTAGAAAAGCTATTTGATGTTTGTTGGCTCTAGTTTAGCGCATTGTGACTTCAAGCATTTCCATTGTGTCATTACTTCCATGCTTTCAGAGAAAATGGGCTCCTTCAGTCAGTATCAGTCCAACTCCTTCTCGTCTTCTACCATAACCCCCTTCAGCAGCCCTCAACCCCCAACTGACATTAAATATTTTAAGATATGTTCTGCTCACTCCAGCCCGCACTCTGCTCTGGTCACTGTATGTAGACCTATGTATATATGCTCAAATAGAAACACAGAACAAAGTAAAGGGTTTAAATTTTGAAAAAGGAAGAAGGATTTCAGATGTGTCTAAGGTTCAACATGTGAACAACTCCTGCGCACTGTGCTCTAGCACTGTGAGCCAGGTCTTGGTGTAAAATCCAAGTGATAACACGTTCAAAGAATAGTCAGACATTTTGTGAAATACCCTTATTCACTTTCTGATGGAGCGTTACATGTGAAATTCAACTCTACTATCGGTTTCTTACAGCAGACGCTTAGCTTAGCTTAGCACAAAGAGTGGGAACAGGAAGAACCTGGCTCTATCAAAAGGTATGTTTATATAATACATACAAAAACTGAAGTTTGTTTATTTATGCTGTTTTTGTTTTCAACTGAAACAGAACCACTTAGCTGTTTTGCCATTTGGAGGCTTGGTGCTCAACTATGTCAGGTGCCATCTTGAGGTATCTTCACATCTACCTCTCTGCCAGAAAGGGAATAAATGCCTTTCCCCAAAATGCTGAACTACTCCTTTAAGAACCAAGGCAAACAAACAGGATCAAAAACAACTTTGGTCAAAGTTATAATTATGCAGGACAAATTTATATCTATCAACTTGGAAGAACTGTTATTCTGTCATGTTTTACATAAGACAAATTAAAACAACACCTAAAGGAAACCATGAAATAAAAAAAAGTCAAAAGTAGACAAAGGAATAATAATTATATTACAGTTTGAGTGAAAGTAAATTATAGCCACAAGTCCAAGACACAAGGAGAGTTTTTAATTTACAGCTAACAGTGGCTGAAGTGGGACTCATTGGAGATCATGAGGAAGCTGGTCATACTGCGCCCATTTGAGTAAAGCGACATCCTGGGCAGTTGACATGAATTGTTGGGTTATTTTTTAGTTAGATAGATATTCAGAGATTTGTTGTCTAGGAATGTTTAGTGCAGACAGGGTGACTAGCTTAGGCTGTTAACTATTCAGCCTGCAGTGCAGACTGCAGGCACGTCAAGGTTACAGGAAAACTGCTGTTAGTGTCAACTGTAATGCTAGTCTTAATATTTGTCTTAATGTGTAAGGTTATGTCCAATTGTTTTAGATACACACCACGAAAACAACAGTCACGCACCTTGACTTTTCCTCATGTTTTGGCTAAACGTTATAGCAGCTGCAAGGCTTGCTTATCGGGTGACGTCACGGTTCGACAGCCCCGAAAGGATTAATATTGTATAGCAATGCTTGGTTCGGGGGCTTTTGGGTTTCCGGGCTGCTTTGGCAGCCTGGGGGTTGGAAGATCTCTGGACTGGAAGTGTTAATTCTTGCCTGTGACTCTTTGAATAAACCAGCACGGTTATATTTTTTATATACTCAAGTGGTCTGAGTCGTCCCTCGGAGTTCCTGGTTTGAAAGAACCGGATGAGGCTTTATAATGGTTTTCAGCCTATATGAATCTACTGTCAGCCTTTTAAAGAGAGAATAGGATTAATCCAGTTTCTGTTTTTCAATGAAGCCTTACATGTGGTTTCTGGCTGGAAATATTCACTGCATTACATTTCTAGTCACAACACAATCACCGATTTAATGAACAACATTTTACCATTGGCAATATCAAATGTCTCTGCTGTCAGAAAATGATTTCCATGCCCAAGAAAAGATTCATGATCTGTCATCACAGACACTCACCTCATTTTAGCATCTTTCAATATGAAGTGCTAGGAGAAACACTAGCTGGAAACGGTGTGTTAGTGCACTTTAAAAACAATCATCTAGCAGCCTGTCATCTTTTTGGTAAATTACAGAAAATCATACGCTAACAATTTACCTCATATTATAACGGCTCTCTTCTTGTGAATGTATAGTGGGCCAATTTACATCTGAATGACTTCACACGCCCCCTTGAAATCTGAGAATAGAGGTAAAAGACGTAACAAGGTTCATCTGTTCTATTCGGTCTGTAAAATGGGCACAGCTTAATGGCTTGTGGTTGGCACAGACACTCTAAAGCTAAATGAAGCCAACAAAAGAATCAATCGGAAATGCATGACAAGTTGCACTACACAGGTTCAAAATATAAGCGGATTAAAAGTGTTTGCTGACATAACTGGGGCTTACAGCAAGCTCCACTGAAACCGTCAGCCTTTGTGTCGACGGCATCAGAGCTGCCTGACTACTGAATTATGAAAAGTGGTCTATCAGTAACATTCAGTCTGTACAAGTTCAATTAACCAACATTTATACACAGTCATGTATTGCCGGCCATTGCTGGGACATTTTCATCCTCAGAAAAGGCAATGAAGTGAAATGATTCAGTAACAGTGAATAATGGAACAGAGACCTTTCTGAACATCTTTGTAAACGGAGACGGAAAACATCCTACAGAGCTGCAAACTAGCATTAGATTTTCCAGAAACTATGGAGGAGAGTTTTATAATGTTGCCATCATATTTGTGTGGACTTTAAATTTCCACTTTGTATCTGTAAATCTTGATTGATGACTTACCACATAGTGTCAAGAGTGATGGTGTGCATTTCTATTTGCTTTTTTTCCCCCCTCGAAGTCATGCTGGTGCTTTGTTACACATGCCGACATCACTGCTCGTCTTCAAAGTGAATGTCTTTTTCTTTTGGGAGCTGAAGGTTTCCAAATGTGTTTTTCTCTCCCTCAAAATAAACAACTTGGTTGTTGTATCCAGCAGAAAGACCCCGAACAGAAGAACGTCCTGATGACACTTCCGAATATAATGACTATAAAGGAGTGTTTTCCTGGTTTATTCCATTAAAGTACTTTGGTCATTAAAGTCACATTATTAATATTACAGTCAGCATTTGCTCCTAAAAATTTCATGGTGTGTTCAGCTTGTTTTTCACTACTTTTCAGGCAGCCAGTGGATGTGGTTCACCTTGGTTTGGTATGAAAATAAATGAATAAGTTGAGCTTGGAGGTTTTGTGCTTATTGTCTACATTTTTAATCAGCAAAGCAGCTGAAAACATGGGATGTTTTATAAAGCCACTCTAGTTGGAAGCTCTAGCCTTCAAGACATACAGTTTCCACTCAAGCATATAAACCTTGCAGAAAAATAAGAGAAAACAATGGGGGGCGGGGGAATTCAGATGTCATGTTTGGATTTTTTTTTGTTAATTTTGGATGATTCTGTGCCTTACAATTTAGTGCTGACATCCACTGATGCAGGAAGTGGTGTGCCCTTTAAGTCACAAGTGGGAAGTGAGGGTGTGGTGACTGCGTGGTAGAAAGTCATGTTATGCATTGGACCTGTCATGTACCACCAGTTAAAGTCTCCTGATTTTTAACTGTGACCACAATCTTTCTCCAACGTTTAACAAGTCCAGTCTTTGTGCAAAACTAAGCTAAGTGCCTCTCACCCATGGCTTCCTACAGTAGTAACCAACACTAGCATTTCACCTTCAAAGTTTCATGTAAATTTTGAATTAAATCAAAGCAAACATTAGGCACATAGTTTCCAAACAGACCTTAGAACACGTGTGCTAGAAAGAGATATTGACAAAAAAAAAATTTGAGCTCAGCACAAAGATAAAAAAAAAAGTTCTCTTTTTCTAAAAGCTGAGAACACATTAGAACAAATAAACGAGGATGATGTGGGTGAGCAGATATGATTCATGGGGACCAACCAAATACAGTCTGTCGGAGGTGCTTGTTAAATGTTCTGAAAATGGAGAGTGGCCTTTCAAAAGGCCTCAGAACTCTCCACACTGAGGAAAGTTGAGCCTCTTAGCTAAGCCTCCCAAGACAAAACGATATGTCAAAGCTGTAGCTCCTCATGGTTCATCATGTAAAGGTCACATGTATTGCTGCATGGAGGGCCTGATGAGCATCCAGAAAGAGACAATGTTAAGTCAAAGGGGATCTAACTTAACACAGAATTTCAGTTTGGTTTAGATTAGAAAAAAAAAAAACAATTAGTGTGTTCAAATCTGAACAACCTCTATTATACGCGATAATATACCGTCTTATCTTACATTAAAAAAAAAGGCTGTGTGTGCAGTTTCTCCAACTGGTGACCCAGAGCTGGTCTGCCAACTCAGTCACAGATAACAAACCAAATTTAAACTCAGCATAATGAGGTGTTGCAAACTGAAATACTAACATTGTGAGTCTTCAGCTCGCAGTCACACAGAATGTAAAAAGGCCTACATCAGAAGCATCCCATGAGACAAGGTATTATTTGACAAGTGTGTTCACCACAAATACAAAAATATATATTTTAAATATAGTTACCTGCAGTGCTACAGTATCTAATCATGCTGCTACTTTGGGTGTGATTTGTAGTAGAGATGTCTCCTGTCAACACAACAGAGCAAACAGCAGATGGATTGTGGTTTTTAAAGCATCCAAAAAGTACTTTTATTTCTGGAAAGAGATTTTTGTTCATTTTTTTTTTTCCCCAAAAGTGAACATTACATTTGATAATCCACCGAACTGATTATAAACTTGTTCCCTGAGAACTACTACTACTACCAAAGCACAGCCATCATCTGTCGAAAGGTGCTAGCATGCATCAATATGAAACACTGAAGACTGTCTTTATTTCTAGACATCATATCAACTATCTGAGAGGAGAGACATGGGGAAGAAAAATATAAATATTGTTCAGAATTAAAATTTGTGCAAAAATATGAACATCCAAATGACAGGAAAATTTACATTTTAGCCATGATGACACTCTTAATGAGAGAACTCACACTGGTATAATTTATAATAAAAAAAAATGTTTTGAGAACTTGTCAGCATTGTCATGTTATACTTAGTGCAATCAGAAATGTATGCATCACACTATACACACACACACACATATATATATATATACACACACACACATACATATATGTACATATATATACACACACACACACACACACACAGACTACTGTACAGTATGTAATTTTTTTAATCACTATAATGTATCTACTGCATAAAAAAGTGCAGTATTTTTAAGATGCCATCCTGTATTATTCAAAATAGATTAGAGCGTGATAATGCACTGCAGGGGTCATGAAATGTCACTGAATCAGCAGTGTCTGAAACCTGGAGCCGTCAGCAGGACTGCATTAAACTTAAAAGAGAACCACTGCAGCACTGTAGTTTTTGATCATTGGAGACAACCGATCTTTAATGTTCAAAGAATATTTATGCTTCAGGCTTTTCTGAGAAACATTTCAAACAACCTGCCGTGAAGTATGTGATTGTAATATAAATGCCAAAAGAAATGCAAATAACTCAGACCCCCTACAGTTACTAAGCAATTTCCTGTACGCTACCAGTCAGTCCCAGACAGCCTGAGGACAAACTCATTTGGACTGATGCTTAGCAACACTGGCAGGTACAGTACAGTTAGTGCTATAACAAAGGCAACAGCTTAATTTGTATGTATAAGCGCATAGGTTTGTGACACCAAAATGTTCGCCTTGGTAACACAGTAAAGCTTTTGGAGCAATTTGCGATTTTAAAATCCTGTTACATTCACTAATCAGCAATTAGATACATGTCCTTGGACCCACTTTCCAGTGTTTGCATAACAATTATATTTAAAAAAAATCTTGCTGCTTTATTTCTATTTTAACAACATCTACTATAGCAGATGTAAGACACATTCAAAGTGTTTCCACTGGTTATTATAGAAATAACCAGAAAAAGAGAGATTGTTAATCCTGGGGTGACATTTCTGAGAACTCCAACAAAGGTAACTTTGCTCAGAACTGTTATAGGAAGAACCAGATCCCTCTTTAACAGTATCAGTACACTACAGGATAATAACGTCAGTGGCAGACAGAGCGAGAGAGAGTTAATTTGGTACACTGCTGTCACACCAAACTGTGTGAAAGTGATCTCAGGTTGGTGTGTAAGAATGAGTTATTTTAGTGTACTGGAGAGGAAATTTCAGTGTGTACACATTGCTTAACATAACACTGACTTGATCTGTTATTTACTGTATATATTAAGAATTTAGTTAGATTTTTATTTACGTAAAACTGGGCAGAATTTTTTTTTCTAAAATTCAGCAGTTTCTAAGCTGCAAATGTCAATATTACACAATTAAATGTGCCAAAGAATGGATGAGCATTCATATGCAAACTTGCAATACAAGTTAAATGTAGCTCCACATTAAATAATATCATTGTCCAATCCTAACCAACCATTAACATCTACGGTCATAATTCAAGGTGACCATTACCAAGAAATAACTAAGCCATGGCAAATACTAAGAAACCCTAACAAACATTTCAACTAAGCCATATCAAGTACTAACACTAGCAAACATTTCAAGTGCTGTCCTAGTCACCAAACATTTCAGAAAAACATTTCAACTAACTCAGCTTCCTTTTGTACTATATCAGATTCCACCCTATGTTGCCAATCACTTCACCAAACTTCTAATTTGCTCATGCTAGCACCAGCAAGTAGGCCTCAAGCCTGCTGTAAGTATCAAACATTTTTTTGTTAAGCCCAATGTCTTGATGGTTTACTCCATCTTATCAGACATAATCCACACATTGGTTTACCCCATTCACACACCTTTCTTCTGCTCCAGAGCCATTCACTGGACCTTGATGCACTTAGTGATGTGACGTTCCCTAAGGAAGCTTCGAAGCTTGTGTCGAGTAGGGGAGGGGGCGTTTCCGCGATGCGCGTATCGAAGCTTGCGTCATTTAGGAGAGGAGCTGAAAATGATGACGTCCGAAGCCTCGCTGCCCGGCTGTACCACGTGACTGATTCAGGAAGTGGTTCGGATTTTGCCGCGAGTTTTGACAGCGATATAAACCCCTCAGGCTCCATTCAAAATGTGGGTGTTTGATGGAGAAAAAGAAATCGCCTAAGACCTGCCACAGTGGAGAAACTGTTGTTTTTAAATAAAAACCAATGATGTGTCCCCTAAACCATAATCACTGGCCATACCTCAACATTACAAAAGCACAATCATTGTCCATACCCCAACCCCAACCACCCTCACCTCACTGTAAATAATCATTTCCATTTTCATCATTTCCAAATAATCATTTTCCATACTGCCAGTATATATGTATATACACAGTATACTGCCATCACTACAATATACATGTTTTGCATACTTCTTTATTTTGCTGACAGTTTTATTCACAGGCTTTCTGCAAAATGCCACACACTTCAAATTCATGCCAACTGATATTGTTGCATCCAGTAGATGTCCTACTAGAGCAAATGAAGCTTCAAGAAGCTTTGCGCTGGAGTGAACCAATTGGATGAAAGGCTTCATTGCTTCATGAAGCTTCATCTGCCCATCACTAGATGCACTACCAACAAAATTCTTCACAGTATGTCTTTCCCTCCCCCACTTAAGACCCAATTAACTTCTACTACTTCTTCTTTCAGGTTTTTACAGCATCTAGTATCCTCAACATCATTACTGCCTCCTAATGGTTTTAAACCAGCATCCATTTCTTTTAAATCCATACATGGTAGATAACATGTGGTATAATGATGATAGTGTCCCTAGTGGTAGTTCTGTGAAGAATCAGTTGTATATTGCATCATTTACAGTGATTGTGAATGGTTCTTAATTGTTAATACAAACTGAATGTTAAAGCCTACCCCTAAATTTCTGATAGATGTACTATTTATTTTTATTTTAAATTTAATTCAGTTTTATTTCTCACATCTATCAAAACTATTGGGGGTAAACTTCCATAAAACTAACGCCTAACCCCAGCCAAATTCCCATGACAAAGAAGACTTTATGATATTTAGGTGTACGCTGTAGAATAAACAAAAAATACAACTTGGGAAAACTGGTTGACGGCAAAGTGCAAAAAATTGTGACATCATCAGGGTCATAAATCATGGCTTCACACCTCCCTTTGAGAGGAGGTGCATAGTATTACTTTCTAAAAATTGTGTTGTTAAGAAAAGCATGTCCAGTCCTCAGTCTGGTCAAAACTACCTGCTGTTGTCTGTTTGATTCTCTATTCATCGTCACATCTACGTGACTCTGGATTGCGTCTAAATGTCGTCCTTTTCTTGCTCTGTCCCAGTACTGTCACCATTGTTGATTCATTTCCTTCCACACTATACTCTTTCCTTCTCTTTTTGACAGATTAATATTAGTGTCAATAAGTTCTTTTTGTATTGCTTCTTTCACTAATTTATCTGCTTTCTCATTTCCAGGTACTGGAACCCACATGAATATGATATGTTTTCCCTCATTTAACTATTGTTGAATGGGTGATCAGTATTTCATAGAGCATATCTCAATGAGTACTGACTGTACTTGTCTTAATGCTTTTTGGTGCTGATGTAGTTCTTCTACATATGAGTATTTTGTTTGGTCTCAGTTGCTCTGCCCACTGTAATGCCAAAATAATTCTACAGTGAATACAGTCAAGCAGTCTGTTGTCCTTTTGCAAATTTCTATTTGACAATGCCCCCATTGCCCCTTTTAAGGGATCCTTTGACCAGTGAAAATCTATAATTACTTTGCATACGTATGCTCCCTACACAGTAAAAAGTCCAGTGTTGATTTGACTCTCACAGAGTTCAGAGTTTATATAGCTCCACACTTTCCAGAGTTAAATTAACACTTTCGAAATAGTTAAATATTTAACACTTTTTCAGAGTTACCTTTTTTAACTCATAGAAGTGTTAAGGAAACACCAAGAGGGATTCAAATTAAATACGTCAGAGTTACATTTGGGAGTGGTAGTGTCACTCTGTTCAGTGTTAACCTATGTACTTTAAAATGTGTTAAATAAAATCCACACACAAATTAATTTCCATAACAACAACATTTATTTGTTTTCTTTCCCAATTCCAAGTCAATTGTGTAATTCAATTAAATTACAAAGCAAGGTACAATATACAAACCTTCATCTGCAACACTATAAGAACTTTGAATGTCAAACGGCTTATAAAATTTAAGCTTAGACATTTTAACAATACACCTTTCCTCACTTCGCAGTACTCTAAATGCATGATGATGTTCATCAAAAATCTCTGTGAATAGCTTGTTTGCTAATAGATAAATCAGATTTTCAACCAAAAGTACATCACTTATTTCACAAAAAACTGGCAAATCATCTTCCACTGCAGTGCAAATTACAAGTCCAGCTCTATATTCTACACCATCAACTTTAACCCAACTTGTTGAGAAAACATCATTTGACAAGTTCACGTCAAGCATTTCAATGTTGACAACATTCTCAGGTGTCAGGGAAAATGACTTAATTGGCCCATACTCAATATTACTGAGGGTGAAGGTTTCCCAGTGATGGGCAATGGCCATCTGATGCTTTTTTGCAAATGATTTAGTTATGTTTTTAAAGTTTTTCAAAGAATCTTTAAACCACTTGTGCTTGGCTTCAAACCGCATACTCCACATATATAACAAGGGGCCAATTTTCCTTATAGAAAATGGGTAATGGATCATAAAATGATGTTTAGGTAATAATGTTTTAAGTGGATACAGACACTTAAATAATTTGTGGTGGTCAACAATCAAATGTTTCAAATAAATTGTCATGCCAAAAGTGAGAGAAGGTGAAAAAACTATGTTCATTATTTGAAGCAATAAAAGCAACAGACTCCAGTGTTTGTTTCCTGGAGGAACAATGTCGCCAAATAACAGTGGGATGTTTTTTACAAGACACAATGTCTGAATAGAATTCAAACCAATGCCATTACCAGCACTCTCTAAGATAACCTTTGTGGGTCGGTTTTTACGTTCTAAAAATCCATAATCAAAAGAATAAATTCTGGAAAGCAAATCCTGTTCAGATAAAAAGTTTTGTGTGAGATATTGAAAAAGCAGTTTAATTTCGTACTGAGCCACACCCTCAAGAAGATCATGCATAATATCAAATGAGTAATTATTCGAAACATGAAAGTATGTCAGTGTGTTAAGAGCAGAATTTTTTTTTAAGCCATACAGTGACTTCAATTGTGGGTTTTCTTGGAGAGACTGACAATGCATCTTAAAGATTTCTTTTCCACGAACAATTACCTTCGGATCATCCTCACTGTATACTGTCTGAGAATCAGCCTTTTCAATCAAACAAAGGCGGCAGAAATGATGGCCACTAAATGACTCATTAAAACCAAGAATTAAAACCAAGGAGCAAAGGACAGTTAGGAAGCTGGAAATCGTATATGACATCTCAGCTGGTTTTTTTGTGCTACTGTTCTGCCTGGACAGCCACCATTTTGATACTCTGGAGAAGATTATCAGCCTGTTCATCACCGGTCATCATCATTCCACTACTCATCGGATTTCCTACATTCATCACCTTCATTCCCGCTGTGCATGCCATCTTCGTCCTCGTCCTCATCTTCCCAGCAGCAGGACCGACAGCTATTTATTGTGGTTGTGGTAGGAACTAGGTGTTCCACGGACTGAACTGAGTTATTACAGTAGGACGGTTTACTGAACTGTGTCAAATGGTCTTATGTATTTTTGTTCTGTTTTACGGTTGAATAGATCATTAAGTACGGTGGCCGACACGGTCACAACACATGCAAAAGACACAACACATGCAAAAGACACAAACGCGGTATTGAACAAAACACATGCAAGACAGAAACGCGGTATTGAACAAAACACATGCAAAAGGAAAACGCTGCATTAACCAAAAAAACACATGCAAGACAGAAACGCTGCATTAACCGGAAAACACATGCAAAAGGAAAACGCTGCATTAACTGAAAACACATGCAAAAGGAAAACGCTGCATTAACTGAAAACACATGCAAGAGAGAAAATGGAAATAGGGGGAGCCTGATCGCAATGATGGGTTCATCCCAACATTAAGGAAGTAGAAGAAGAATAAGTAGTGAATACTACCGCGAAAATTAAGAAGAATACTACGGCAAAAGAACTAGCTAAGCTAATTTAAGTTATTATAAGAAGAAAAAGAACAAGAAGAAGACCACGGGGCATTTTCAAGGTTACAGAAACGGTACGTTTTCCATTAAGTTCCTTTTTAAATAATTGCCCGTCATCTCTTACGGTACTATAAAAGAGCAACAAATGTACCTAGCTAAGGATAGTGTGCCACAGACTGTGTTTAACTCTTATTAGCTCACGTTAAACCTAGTAACTCGGGATAATAGCGTTAGCTAACTAGTGTTTCTGTATGGTAAGCAGCGTAGATAAAATGGATAAAAAGGTGCAGTGAAATAACTTTTATTTTCAATATATATAAAGTATATAACAGATTTTGTGCAAATCAGGTGTGCAATTTCAACGTTAACTTTAGTTTTCTCTCATATACTGTACAATCTCCTTATATTGGACCTTTCCAATTTTAGTAACTCTCCTCTTCTTCCCCACCACCACAGATGTATTGTCCATTCTGCGGATCTGCACTGATAGCGTCTCCTGCATTTTGTTGTCTGTGTGGCAGAAACATCAGTTTTTTAAATGATCTGCCAAACAAAGTCCCTCCTGTTGTCCCTCCCATTGCACCTCCTGATCCACAGCCTAGCACTAGTACAGGTGAACAGAAAGTTGTATTCATGACATCTCGGCAAATCTGTTCTAAAATATCATGCAGAAAAGACTAATCGTCAGTTTCAAAAAGATATGGACTTTGGGATACAAAACTCTCCTGGTTTTGGACTATATTAAATTTAGAATTCAGAACCCAAAATCTGATGTTCATCTATTAAG